AGGCAAGGCTGCACTTCCTTCTTACCTGCAATTATGACTCAGACTTGGAGGTAGAAGACACAGAGTGGCAATTCTGAAGTAAGGAAATGACGATGTGCATCCCACCTTTAAGTCAATCACCTAATAAAAGACACCTGCCACCCTGGGAAGGCAGAGTAAACAATGGCGCTCAGACACCCGACTGGGACCTGCCAGCCTTAGCAGGGAGGGTCTCCTTTAATAGACTTAAACATAAGTTAAGACTGATTTGAGCCAAGCATCAAGAATGGATTTGGATATTTTGCTAATATGATCCTGTTACCAGTGCAGTACAATCCCAGCTGGCGAGAGATAGATAGACCCCAGACTACAAGGAACTGGAACTCATTGGAATAATTTGAAGGGAGCACTGGTTTCTGTGGTACTAGACCGCAGACCACTGTGACTGAATAAATGTAGCTAAGTGTAAAAATACAGCATTTAATATTGGCAAGGACAACAAAAGTATATTTAATGTGGATGTGTCTCCTTACAGGAAGATTAATATTAAGATTTGGATCAAATGTTTGTCTCTACTTCATATCTCTCAGTTTATATATTCACATTTTTGTGTCTTTTGTATATTTTTTGATGTTCAGAAGTCACAAATACTGAATATAGTTTTTTGGGGGAAAGGAGCATTAGAGGTAGTGGAAGTGGAAGAAGAGCATGAATGAATCCATATCAGATTAATGTCTCAGAATAGACAAAAGAAACTGCTTGCTCAGCAAACATATGTTCTGAGCAGCCACCTTGTTCAACTTGACTTATTTCTAGGAGTCAGTGTTCTCTGCGGGTCGATGGTGTGTGAGTGTGTTTATCTGAAGGCGGCAGTCTTCAGTCTGTCCGGGGTCAGAGACAGAGACAAACGCCTCCCCCGGCCGGCTGTCAGCGCCTAGTCACTAATGATGCTGCAGCGCTGAGCTCAGCTAATTGACCAGACAGAGATGGATCGGATCAGGACCTTGTACTCTGCTGTGTCTGCTCGCTCCAGTGTGAGCTCGTGTGTTTGTGTGTGCGTTTTGATGTTTTTTGTTCACAGCTGCCTCCACACCGTGGACTGTATCTCCTAACAGGAACGTCCAACTTTGATGCATCACAGCAGGATGCAGGGAAACAGTACGGACAACCCTTTAAAGGCTCCTCAGGCATATCTTCGTATTTTCATCCACCATCTGCTGACGAAACTGCGAATGCTTCACTCGTACGTTCATAGAGGTAGTCAGTCCGCAAACTGTGGAGAACAAATAAACCTCGGGAGGTTATGAGCTTCCAGGATCAGGCAGTCAGTGCAGCTGGGTGTGAGATGTGTGTTTAAAGGCTCTGGTTGGCAGGGCTAACTGGCCTCTTAGCATCAAGTTTATTTTCACAGGGAGAGTATCACTGAAGGAATGACCTTGGTCCATTAATAACAGAGCCCTGTGTGTGTGTCTCTTTCACATTCACACAGAGAAAATGCTACATAAGAGCTCACACACACACACACACACACACACACACACACACCTTAGATCATAGAGATTCTGCTAAAGCCCTGTTCATTGTGCATTTGGCGCCGACTCAGTTTCAAGTAATGAAAATAAGTTTTTAATAAAGCTGCGACCACAAAAAAAGGTGTTACAGTAAAACAAGTTTTTAATGCTTTTCTGGGATCCAAATTGAAAAGCTGCATTCTCTTAACTTTTCAATTTTACTGAAAAACCAGTTCAGTTTCAGGTCTTTCCCCTTTTGGCCCCGTTTGCACTTGGCATACAGTAAGCGTGTCTCTACTGTTGGCTCACAAAGCAGTCTGTTACCCTGGCAAGTTCCCACTCACTCTCCTTCTGTCTGCTTCAATGTGTCTTACTTTTGTTTTAGACTATTTTAAACATACTTTCTGTCAGTAAAATCCAAATGCAGTGACCGACATATTTAAAGCACATGCATAACTAAATGTTAGTGCGTTTTGTTTCTGTTGGAGAGTTTGGATATAAGATGCAAAGAGCACAACACGATTAGTTCAGCTCCAGTGTTGTTTTTTGTTTTGTTTGTGGTGGCGTGAGGCAGAGGAAATACAAGAGGGAAAGAAAGTCTGTTAGGGTTTCAACCGATGTTTACAAGGTTGCATGTGCGGCTTGGCAGACTTATTGCCGGATTTAAGCATGCAGTTTCAATGGTCTAGCCTTAGCCACCGGCCGCATGCTTAAATGTGTGCGCAGAATCTCCCTTTGACTTTTGGATAACTTCAGAACTCCATAATAAATGTCAGATTAGGTCGAATAACTGATTTGTTTTTCAGAACCCTCATTAAAAGTTGTAACACTTTTGCCTCGATCCTTTTGCTCGTTCTCGAAAATGCACCCTCACTTTAAAATGGGAAAAGATAACCTTCTCTTTGTGACCTTTGCTCATCTCTCCCTCATGTTCCTCGGAGATTATTGCACCAGAAGCATCAAAGAAAATCCAGAAAGGGTTTGTAAACTCACTCAACTCTGTGTGAGATTTCTGTGCAAAAGAGAGAAAAGCTTAACAAGTGCTGGCTGATGTCAGCGCAGCCTCTGGTCTGCTGAATTCTCTGCAGGGGTCTTTCTCTAATGAAGAACTCTGAGTCTGTCACTGATTGGAACCCAGTGCAACACGGGGTAAAAAGATCAGATGCGTTCACACATTTTTTGATCCCCCTCTCACTGGGGCAATTAGCCCAGTAAGCTCAAACAAATAGGGGATACGATGAACCGTGTCCATCAGGGGCCACTCATTAACTGTGATGAAGTTATTGTTGGCCAGCAGAGCGATGGAGGCACTCTTGGGGCATCCCAGTCATCCTCACTCTTCAGGTCTGCATGCGTGGACGCCACAGGCTTTGTAGTAAAGTGATACTGTCTGAGGGGATGCTAAAGAAAAAAAGGGGTCTTGAAGATTTCAATATTTGTTGTTGCAAGACCGAGAGACAGAGAAAGTGTGCAAGAGGTGTGTGGGAGGCTATAGTTCTTGTGCCAAAGCCGGCATAATGCTTCATACAATAGCTCGAGTGTGGGTGAGGGGATCTTGGCGCTTGAATGTTCTTTACTTTAGAGGGAAAAGACGCGCTGTCAGGAGGGGAGGAGGGAGAGCTAGATTTCTTATCCTGAGCCCCCCCCCCACCTCCTACCTTTGTAATTGAATGCAGCCATCTATATGAAGTGGGCTTCACAGAGAAAAGCCTGCAGGATGTGCATGCACATAGACACGTCTCTTTGTCTCCTCTGCCTTCCTCCGTGTAGACTGAAGTACGCTGCAGAAGAGTGAAGCAGACATCGAAATGTCCTCGTCTCTGTGCAAGGTTTATGTTGTTACTGAAGCATGGAGGAGTTTTCTACAATCCGGAGGTCATGCCATAACATTACATGGTTTGAATCCATCTACACTTGTAATCCTCTGAGAAATACCCAGAACCCAAAACAGTGAAATCATGAGCACAGAGGTCGAGGAGAGGCGGGGCCGGGGTATTATTGGAGCAGTCTCACTTTACCCTAAACCATGTGCTCTGTGTACTTTTCATACTCCTCTTTTGCCCTTTCACTCTCCCCTCTTTGGGTAATATCTGAACTCATTATGCTTTTTACGTCTCAGGTTTCAAAACGTTCATTCTTCCTTCATGACAGTAAGCGCTCTATTTTCCTTTTCCGGGCCTGCAGTGCATAGAGACAGATTATGACATCTCGATGCTACAAAACGCGACGCTGTTTAAGAAAAATGCCGTTGTCCTACTTCACCTCTGTGTTGCAGGTGCTATTTCATGGCTTCGTTCAGTGTAGTACTTGGCGTCGACTGTGGCCGCTGGCCACTGAATGGAAAGGCATGCTTCCTGGTGGCTAATGAGGTGCTGAACCCAGCCTCTTGTTTGTATCAGGAGCACCTGGGCCAACCACAGCCAGCCCAGGCCAGACAATGGAGTCAGTCTAGCATTTCCACAAAGGTCTGCCCATTCAAATCATCTACAACCCTGGGACACAAACTCCCACACTTCATAAAATGAAGGCAAAACAGAATGCGGACCGAGACTGCCCCATTCTTTTTCAACAAGGAAACTATTGTTTGTCTTCACACGCCCTCTTTCCCAGGCCTTGCGATGCTATCCTCCTTAAAGGAACGAGGCAAAAGTAAAACAATTCAGCTGAAATGCAGCACAGTGTTTGTTCTTTGGAAATGTAACACATACAAGAGCTGCAACTGTCACTGTTAATTTCCCTTTCTGAGCTCTGTCTGGCTCACCTGGAGGACAGAAACAGCACAGAGGTCTTTTCAATTTCATGTATGTGAAACATCTTGATAGAACCCACAACACAGTCTGTAACTGAATTCTTGGAGTGATGACATTAGATTAAACACAAAATTGAATGCTGAATCCTACAGTTTGGCGGTGAGAATCAGAGACAAGCGTTGTCCTAGTCCAGGGTTAGACAACTCCAGGCCTCAAGCACTGGTGTCCTGCAGGTTTTAGATCTCACCCTGGGCCAACATACCTGAATCAAATGATTAGTTCATTACCAGGCCTCTGGAGAACTTCAAGAGATGGTGAGTAGGTAATTTAGCAATTTGAATCAGCCATGTTGGATCAAGGATGCATCTAAAATCTGCAGGACACCGGCACTTGAGGCCTGGAGTTGCCTACTCCTGTCTTAGTCTCTTTACTTAAACCAGATGATGATGTATGGTTTCCTTTTCTTTCCCAAGCAATCATTTTAGCTCTAATGCCACTGGTAAACTAGAAAATACACTCACTAACCACCTTTGTGCAAAGGTACTGCTTATAAGGTTGGGGAAACCTGCAGTCAGCTGAGACTGAAGAAGTCACTGGGATGAGTGGCGAAACGTTTCCCACTGAAAATGCTACGTCCAGATGAACAGAATTAACCTTTTGGGATCTAAATATTATGTTGTCAAGCTCAGGAAATTATAAAAACTTCAAATGCAAAACACAGAACTGACATTTATTCCACTTTGTCTTTTGGTTTAAACAGATGCAGGAAACCGGCTTGTAGCTCAAGAGGCATTAAGAAAACCATCTACTCTACGCCGGCCACCTGCACGCACGGGAGAAGCAATCTCCAGTAAGTAACTGTGAATACGATATTTTGACTAGACGGCAATTCTCATCTCAGTTTTATTCTTGTAATGCCAAACCGCAACAAAATTAATCTCAGGATGCATAACACAGTGAGGAAAAGATCTTTTAGGTACAAAGGTAGGGAGATGGTTTAAGTAAGAACTTGGTAATTTAGTTGGTAACAGAGGGAAGACAACAGCTCCCGTTTAGGAGGTAAAAACCTCACAACCAGGCCCAGGGTGGAAAACAAAGATATAACAATAACAATCAATAGCAGGGTGATGGGGTCAGCACATTGCACACGATACCTATAGAGGACAAAGAACAAACCGCAGGAGAAAGAAGGCACAAAGCTAATGACATTTCATCACACGGGGAGTGAAAAGAGTAAAAGAGCAGTGCTCAGTGGATCATGTGAGGTCAACCAGCAGCTTGAGCCTTTGGAAGCATAATTGGGGATGATTCAGGGTCACCTGATCCAGCTCTCTCTATAAGCTTTATCAAAGAAAAAGTTTAAGCCTAATCCTAAAAGTAGGTATGCCACATCTTTACATGTCTGATTCCTCCAACTAAAATCTGTTTTTCAGATTGTCTCAACTGCAGTCGAATCACTGCTATGAGCGACAGGCTGAACACGCTGGAGGAGAAGGTGAAGACTTTTACTTGTTCAGACGCAGCATGTGAAACGCTGAGGAACGTGACTGGCCTACATTAAACAATCGTATTGTTTTAATTACCTGCGCTTGTTTTATGTTTTCCTGCACCAGGTCCAATTACTCACAGCTCCGGCCTCCATATCGCATCGCCACCTTCAGGGTAAAGTGGGAATTGCTCCAGAGACCTCGTTACTGATGGGGGCTGTGCCCGCTCAGGGAGCTCCTGGTGAGCAGGGACCTGTAGGTAGGTGTATCCTGCTGTCACGTGTCAAGTTTAGGCATTTCCATTTAGTTCCGTCAACGTTTACGTTTAATAATTAAGTCAGAAATCATTCCTTGCAGCTTTTCCTGCTCGCTACCTGCACACCTCTGCTCGTATTCTGTTTCACCCAATGCACACGCACTTATTTCCTTTAACAAAAGTCAGAGTGCAGCTCTCTTTCAGCTCTGTGAGCGTCCTCTCCTTTCCTGGAGTTGAGCCCAGCACTGGCTGCAGCTAAAGACGCAGTCATCAGTGTTGTTATACCATCAGCAAGAGAAAGATTTGATTTACTGGACTTTCAAATTAAAGACTTTTATTTGTCTTAAATGAGACAAACCTGGAGAAATTGAGTGCTGTTTGGTCTACCGCTCTGGCTGAGTTACTCCCCAGTGCTCATCCACTGCTCCCTGTGTCAAAGAAAAAGCTCCCTGATCCATTTGTAAATCAGAAATATAAAACATCTTTCTGAACCAGTTCCTTCTCCCCACAGGATAAACCATTTCTAAACCAGCACCCTGTGAGTTTTCCTCTGGTGCCACCTTCAGGCCAAAGTGCACTCTTATGTAATGCATAGTGAAGGCTTGGTTTAGATTTTCCTCATTCTGCCTGTTCTTCAGCATCACTATGTGTGGGGTGTTGCTTAACTGTTCTGGTGGAGGTTCTGCTGAATAAGACCTTAATAGATTCTGATATAAATGAAATCATTTAATGTCTTTACGCTGTTCTCTGCAGGTTTTATACGACTGTTTGTCAATAATGGAAGAGCTGCAAATGAAATCTGATGTGTAAACTTGCTTCCTTTTAATAAAGTATTCCCAAAATCACTACAACCAAAGCTTTACATAAACCCCAAGAGTTGCCTAGGTAAGGGAAATCAGTTTCCTGTGTTAGAATTAACTAGCCCTTTAAAATGTATATAAAATTGGCACTTTAAAAATGTTTTATTTTCTAGCTAAAACATTTAATGAGCCCTAATACTGACCTATAAACACAATGACACATTCTTCCTGTGACTGTTTGCACCTCATCCTTTGGTGGATTATACTTGGATTGTTTTTATCAAACCTCTCCAATTTTAATTTCAGGTCCTCAGGGTGAAAAGGGAAGAGATGGGCTTCCTGGCAGAGATGGTAAATTGTAACTTTCAGTTGATGTAAAACTACTTAAGATGTAAACCAGTTAGGGCTTTGCGATTACTCATGGCTGTTTCCTTCTCTTAGGGAAGCCAGGGTCTCAAGGGCTGCCAGGTCCTATTGGGCCTCGAGGTGGGGCCGGGGCAAGGGGCCCGTCTGGAGCCCCTGGATCAAAAGGATCCCCTGGACCAGCAGGTAACGGTGGACTCAAGGAAAAGGTCTTTGTTAGCAGAGATAAGAGTAACAAATAAACCTCGTCCTGTTGTAAAGTTGCATGTGTGCCACTAAGAGAAAGGGTATGTCAGATCAGCTGTTTAGTTATTGCCTATCTAGTCACTATTGTCTGTGGAACAATGGCTAACAAGAGGCCAAAGGGCTATGAAAACAACAGGAGAGTATCTCCTCCTGACCTGTGATGTCCATATCCAGAGCGTTTGTCTTTCCCTCAAACCTCTCAGTCGGCGTGCAGACCCTCCAGCACTAAATGCTGGGACAATCCAACCCCCCTTGAGGCCTGCTGGTAACTTACTGGAATTTGAGTATTTTGCTGGTTGGCTTTGAAAATCATAGGTTTCTAAAAAGTGCATGCTCCAGAAGCAAAGTAGCAAAGTATTTGTTTTCTGACTGTATATAAACTCCCCAACATGTGTTGCTTTTCATGGTCGGCAGCCAGAACAGACACGGGATCATAAATCTGTTCCACAGATTCAGAGTTCAGTTGTTATGTACAAATAATAAATGACCTGCGGGGAAAAACGTAAATCCGGAGGCAGCTGTGACTTGAATAATGAATAAAGTAAATGGCGGTCTATAAGTGTGTCACAACATCTGCTCTTGCTATAAGCTGTTATTCCTCTGCTGTGGATCGTGAAGGGAGTGCCTCTCCTCTCAGGCTAACATGTGACCCCTGCTCTCTGCCTGCTGCTGGGTAAAGATGAGATTTGGAGCAAACGCTGAACTACAAACCCACCATGTGACTTCAATTGAAATGAACAGAAGCGATACGTATACGAAATCCCAGAGCCTTATGATTTCCATATGCCCCTTTGGTGTTGGTGTTTTTCTATCTCCATTACTTCATAGGTATCCAAAAGCAGCGCTGTGGTTTTCTTATTTTACAGATTTTTATTTTTGTTTTTTTAACACTCAAAGAGAAAGATAAACACAGGCCTGGAATGCATCCAGTGTCATGCTAAATGTAGATAAATATGTTTCTTAAGCCAGAGGTTGTGGGAAAAATCAAAAGTGAACAGCTGTAGTTAGGAGAAGTGATGTTGTATGATATGATACGAGCCCTGATAACTTACAGGAGAGTCGTATTAAAATGTTGACTAATATTTTGCCATATCATCCCATAGTTGCTCTGGGGAACCATTATCCTAGAAGAAAAACTGAAATTGTTTTCCCTAATATGTCACAAAGGCTTTAAAGAGCTGCTTTTTCTGGCCCTCTGAACACTGTGCTGCATCTTGCAGCTTGCGATCTTCATGAAGTAGCCAAAGCAGCTGGTTTTGCTGCTGTTTCTTTACTGCGATCAGTAAAAATGTCAAATCAGATGCAATATATTATGCTGAAAATCTGTAAATAATGAAATGTCATTTAGTATATATACAAAAATGGTGGTGGAGGGCGAGAGGTTGTGTTCAGGATACAGCCTGACCTCAGAGGAATCCAAACAATGACGTCAGATGTCACTGTGGTGCTTTTTTCCATCTTCAAAATAACGCTTGGGGGTGACGAGGGTCCCTTTTGCTTATGCGCACTTACAGATTTGCCATTTTTGTGTATGTAGAGAGCATTTAATTTACTGTGAACCAGTCCAAGCAACACTTTGCAGAGTTTATTGTGTTTATTTGAATTTCCCATTGTAAAGATGCCAGCAGCGGTCCATTAAAGACCCTCTTCTAGTTAACTACAGACAAAAGAAAGTTTCTACACCTCTCCTGTTCAGTCTAGCTCCTGATCTTACTCCACATGTAGACACAGACACACACTCACTCCTAAGAGACACTATGTTGCATCACTCAACACTTTATCTAATCTTTTTCCTCTCTGTTGTTTGTCCTCTTGTCGTCACATAAGCCACAGTCATTTATCATTCTGCCATGAGCTGTGCCTCTTCAGAGGAAACTCAGGTCTTATTTCGCTGTGACGCATCCCTGCTGTACAGAACGTCTGTCACCATGGTGATTTTTCTGTCTTGCCTACTCCCAGGCCCCCGTGGTCCAACAGGACTGCCAGGAGGGAGAGGTCTTCCAGGCCCGCCTGGCCCACCGGGGCCTCCGGGCCCTGCAGGTTCCCCAGCACCAGCCAGTGCCCGCATCCCAGAACCAGACCACAGTAAGACCCTGCGCAACTAAGAGACCTCATGTAGTTATTATGACACTAATTCACTACAAACATTTAAAATACCCATTTAGGTTTTTGATAAATCGAATCATTTCACGCTGTTAAGGAGCAAAGTTCAAATTCAGTTTAGTAGAACTAGTAAAAAAAAATTTTTTTATTCTAAACTTTTTTTTACACCTTTTCGCTTAACTGCTGTTTACTGCTGTGCTACTACCTAGTAATGTAGCCATCAGCTGTCAGCCTCAAGCAAAGATGGGGATTTGGGGTACAACACTTCTATTTAACTCCATAAACCCCAATTTATTTTTTATTTTCAGTCTCTTTATTGTCAAACTAAAGCATCGCCATCTCAAAGGACGTCAGCTGTTAGGACTTTTTAAAAACAGCCCACTTCCGCTTGATTTGCTGTATATTCCATTTAAATGTGACTTTATTCCTTTTTGTTTATAAAAATTGGTTCTGCTCTTTTACTTTGGTTCCAGTTATGACTTTTCATAACCTATTATTAACGGACCTAGATGTCCAAATGGTAAATAGGTCCATGTCAGATGTCACCACCTTCTCGCATGAATTGGTGTGTTTTTGAGCCAAACCAGTCACTGTTACTCCACGTCCAAACAAAATCAGCTTGTGTACGCACACAGATTCAGGCAGGGTGACATCAATTTTAAAGACTTCCAGCTTGACTCTTTAAACTAATGTTCACGTGTCTATAGCAGCCTTACAAAAGAAACAAAGAGAATAGGAAACAGGCAAGATGACGTTAATCCTTTAACTGCTACTTGCTCCTTGTTGTCTACCAGCCAAGTAGGACAGAATCAAAGAGTGTTAAATGGAGGCAGAGACAGAGAGATTGACACAGACTTCACATGCTGGGATGAGAACCTGTCCACCCCTGATGTCACTCAACAGCTTCCAGATGTAGGTCGCTCAGACAGCTGAGGGAAGAGGTGGGGGTGGAGGGGGTGACAGACAGATGGGGGCCCACACCAGCTCTTCCAAGGTCAGCACACAGGCGGGTTTTATACATGGGTTCAGTGGTAAAAACAAAATATGCAGCACACCCGTTTGCAGGCTCCGGGTTCCTGTGTGGAGACGCAGGCTTGAGGTTGGCATGATTATTTCCGAAACTGTGGGTCATTTCTTTCACATCAAAGTACCAGCAGGGAACATAAGACGGGGGTTCTGTGCAGAGCTTCCTTTGGAAAACACTGGATTATTTGGCTTCGACATCTGCATCAGGATGTTGGAATTCCCGTCTGCAGGACTGGAGAGGGTTCCTAAACCAGCGGCCAACATGTAGTACTTAAGAACAGGACTGTTTAAAAGCATGACCTCAGTGTTTGTTAGTGGTCGAGCAGATTTTCATGTTACGTCAAGCCACAGATTCCAGTTTGTTGTAAGCAGGAAATGAAGAGTATCAGATACAAAAAAGCAGCCCTGATTTTTTTTAGTGGTGTGCAACAAGAATCAGGCAGCTGAAGGATGTTTCTGGGTTCTCCTCCTCCACCTTCTCTCTAATTCTCCTGAGGCCTCATGCTGTGATTGGACCTGTGTTTCCTGACAGTATAAAATGACCCAACAAACGTACATTTCCTCTAACATTCACACATGAACCACCCTCTTCAACTGGCCCTTCCTCTTCGAACACATGTGGCTGTGCATGCACAGTCAGTGCTGTTCAACAGTGGAAACTTTTTTGTTATGTCATGTTGAACTTTTATACGTATCAAACTACAGTTTAGTATATTTTACTGCCCTGGCGAAGTCGTGAGATTGAGTTTGACTGGAGTACACTGCCCTCTAGAGGTAAGGCTGATTTGTCACACAAAAACTTAACCATCCACTAAGATGCCTAACAGGGTGCATGTAGTTGGATCAAGAAGTTCATGTTTCTTATTATGAGATATTTTGCCATTTTGCTTCTTTATGAAATGTTGGTGAATGACCAATTTCTTATTTGGCACAGGCAAAATATGGCTCGCTTATCGAGCTTGGCTACCAAATTAGAACCTAATCAAAAGCAGCACCATATGGAAATATAACCAAAATATAATTTGTTCTGTGGAGCTCATTGGGAGGACAGATGATGTTACTCATATCACAAGTCTCCTTTTATAGAATGAAACGCATGACAAATAAATTCAACTCAGTATTATAACTGAGGAAAATAAATTAATAGTATTTTAAGAGTTTGTTTAGATGGTGAAGCTACAGAAGTGGATTTTTTTTCTGCTTAAAGGAACTCATTTTAACTTTACCAATAGCTTCTGCTTTCCTTTAAACACACGTGCATTTTCTGTTTCAACTTCCAGATCGTGGAAAAGACCCTTTCTTCACCAACACCTTCCACGACTCTCGAGGGATACCTGTTCCAGGACCTCAGGGGCCTCCGGGACCTATTGGTGAGCATTAAACACTCTTAACAGCTTTATTAAAAAATATTAAACTACAGGACTGAATTCAAAGACACCACAAAAATCAAAGTGAAAAATTATGCAGCAGGTTAGTAGATTTTGCCAAAATATCAACAATAGTAGTTTGTATGGCCCCCCACGTGCTTGTATGCATGCCTGACAACACTGGGGCTGCTAATGAGAAGACAGACGAGGTCCTGGGGGATCTCCCCCGTCTTCTGCACCAGGGGATCACTGAGGTGCAACGTGGGACAAAAAACATTTAGGTTTAGGTCAGGCCAGTGTGCAGGGCTCAGTCAGTGGTATCAGTTCTTTTATTCTTTTATCCTCTCCGAACTGCCTGCATACTTCCCCTACATGAGGTCATTGTAGTACACCAGGAGGAACCCGGGAATCACTGTGTCAGTGTAGGGTCTGACAGTGGGTCATAGGATTTCATCCTGATACCTAATGGCATTCAGGGTGTTGTTGCCTAGCCTGTAGAGGTCTGTACATCCCTCCATGGATATACCTCCTCAGCTCATCACTGAGCCACTACCAAACTGGTGCAATGTTACAGGCAGTAAATGTTTTTCATTCTTAACCAGATGTCCAGAAAGAAAGAAATATCCTTCAAAAACAAGTCCACACACTGATGACTACACTTAGGTGTGGTCACAACTCTGTATACACTCTAAACAAACTCAAATATGCAAAATGAAAACAGCCCCTTTGCATGTCTTACAGTTTGAATGAACAAACATCTTGTGCAGTATCTCACTGTGTTATGATCTTTTTCTGTGTTATTATATTTTTATTGTGTACAGTTTGGACACTGACACAAGTTTTGGTTTTCTACCTGTTTTCTGAAACATTCTATAATTCTAATAATAATTCTAATTATACTTATATAATGGACATGGACAAAATGTGTAGACGCTTTCATTTCAGTTTTCTTTTAAGGGTATATGCAGCCAAAGCTCTCCATGCAGGCTGCACAAGCCATCTTTAAGCTGCGAAAACAGAAAAACCTATCCGAAAAACTGCCACAATGGCAGGAGAGGCAAAATCTATAGTTTGGTACATAATGAGAAAGAGAGAAAGCACTGGTGAACTCAGCAATGCAAAAAGACCTGGACGTCCACAGAAGACATAGTGGTGGATGATTGCAGAATTATTTGCATGGTAATGATAAACTCCTTCACAACAACCAAGTGAACAACACTATCCAGGAGGCAGACATTTTGATATCCAAGTCTACCATAAAGAGAAGACTGCACGAAGACTGCGTGACATCCAAAGCAACCCAGGAGTTTATTAAAGCAAAGAAGTGGAATATTGTTGAATGCCCAAGTCAGTCACCTGATCTTAAAGAAATTAGGCATGCATTTCATTTGTTGAAGATGAAACTTTGGACAGAAAGGCCCACAAACAAACAAACAGAAACTTAAAGCTACTGCAGTAAAGGCCTGGCAGGACATGAAAAAGGAGGAATCCCAGCATCATGGTGATGTCCATGAGTTCTAGACTTCAGGCTGTCATTGATGAATGACTGAGCTTTCAGTTATTAAATATGTCCAATTACTTTGAGCCCCTATAATGAAGGGATTGAGTTAGAAATGCTTTAGTTCCTCACATTTTTATGCAATCTTTTTATTCAACAAACTGAATTAAAGCTGGAAGTCTGCACTTTAACGGCATCTGAGTTGTTTCATTTAAAAGTCAATGATTGTCTCTGTCCATATTTTTATGGACCTAACTGTATATACTGATGCTTGTCAGTGATGCTTTTTATATTTCTTTCTTTTAATATGCTTTTCATAATCTCCACTGATCTTTCTTCTCCATTTCGAAGATAAAGGCTTTGATAACATAAACTTATGAACACCTACAGGTTCTGTGTGTCACTATGTCAGGTTAAAAAGGTGTAAAACACAAAACTCTTGTGCTAATATAAATCTTTTAATCTGTTTTTCAGGTCCCCCAGGTCCTAAAGGCCCGGTAGGACCTCCTGGTCCAGCAGGACAAAATGTAAGTTTGCTCACAGCACAGCAGTGCACGATAGTCGCGGCATTAGATTTGTTTTTGTACAAATTTATCTGTGTCATTTTCAATTTCCTCTCTGCCTCAAAACAGGGAAAACCTGGAGTGCCTGGAACGCAGGGCCCCGTGGGGCCAAAGGGAGAACGTGGGGAGAGAGTGAGTAAACTTTGGCTTAGATTATTGATTTGTTGGATGGAGGCACAGCGCATGTTAATTACATTTTTGAAAATATAAAAAGCTTAGCTAAAAGACAAGTTTGTAGACATATTCAGAGAAAAGTAAAAAAGCACATGCAGTGCAGTGCGGTACAGTAAGACAATATTAGTTTATTATTAATATTTATTAACATGTTCTCAATGCAGTTAAAGAACATAATATATGCAAGACAATCAGATGATTCAATAAGCAAGTACATGTTTATTTAGATTTATATGTGCGGTGCTTAATGTCTTCAGACTTTTATATCTCATACAACGATCAACCCATAAATATGTCACTTTGTGCGTTCTTCTCTTGCAATAATGATAATAATATAAATATTAAAAACACAAAGAATTAACATTTTATCTTCATGGTTATGTGTTCCTCATCATAATCCCCATCATCATTCAGAAACTACTTGAACCACTTTTAGCAGTAATAACTTGAAGCAACTGTAATCAGCGTGAATAATTTTGGCTCACTGTTATTTTGTTGATGCACAGCTCTCTTAAGGCCCCGTCACAGCATCTGAATCAGGTTTTTGACTTTGTCTGGTTCATTGCAACACAACGATTCTTTTCTCTTCCAGCCATTCTGTTTCAGATTTTCTTCGCTTCTCGGTTTTGTCTTGCTTCTGAATTTGGATTTGTTTTTGTTACATAAATAGTGATAGAATGTAATCAGGACTATACAATGATGATATTTTTTTTTTCTGCTATGCTCTAATATGTAAAACCTTAGAGGTGAGAGAGGATGTACTTTCTTTTTCACAACCATAATGTTAATGAGAACTATCGAAGGGGAAAAAGCTTTCGTTTGTTTTTTTGGTTTTTTTAAGGGACTCTTTCGAAAGATTTAGCTGTTTTTTCTTTGTTTGACAACTTAATGACACAAGTCTTTGATTTTTCAGGGACCTTCAGGTTACCCAGGAGAGAGGGGCTTGAGCGGCGAGCCGGTAAGCCACCTCTGCATGTGGAAAAGGGGAGAATATCAACACCCTGTCATATTGGGTTATTTTAGTGTAAACTACATTCACCAGCAGCACTGCAAACCACATTGACCAACAAAGCTGCAATCAGAGAGAGAATGTGCTCTTTCTTTTGATGTGAACTGCTGCATCACACCAATTTTTCTGTTAACATTTCTTCACAGGGAGCACCAGGACCAAAAGGAGAACCGGGAGAGAAGGGATTGCCGGTAAGATGCCAGCTGCTGGTAGTTCACAGTTCAAATGGTGACACACAGCCTGAACAAGAAGTCGTAGTCAGGAGGTTTCAAAAGTTTTAATATTAGGCATGAAACGTATGCTTAATCCTTACATTTCTTTCACTTGTTTCTCATTTTACAAGAGCAATCCAAATGTAAGATATTTTTACTCATGTCATCATCTCTTCACTGTGTAGCCAAGTTCTCAGTTTATGCTTTGATCTGTTTGCAGTCACCATATTTGTGGTGGTGATTGACCACAAAGTGGTGATTGAGCAGCATCTTTTGTTCTCTCAGGCTCAGACTTTTCAGACTGTTGATTGTCACGTGGTCTCTGCTTTACTTTGTTGTTTATGTTTGATCATATATGACTGTAGCGTTTGATCTGTGTGTGTTTGTACGTTAACGTGTTTTTGTTTGGTCCTCGGGGTGTGCTCTGGACTGCTGTCCTCTTGACCCTAAAGCTCCCTCTGCAAGCTGCTGTCCCCATGGCTACCTTTCACAGTCATCTTTTCAGCATCTGACTTTGGCATATACATCTAAAAATACAAAAACATACCAAGAGAACAGCTCGATGCGGTCATGTCCTTTTAAAGGCAAAATTCTTTATTATTCCATGTGAATTAAAACAAACTGATTTCACAGACTATCGAATATTCAGTGACTCACAGAAGAAATGTGCGAAATGTATATGCCAAATCACTCCATATGTGTCAGTGGTGGGTGGTGTTGGTTTAGAGGTGTTGATGTGGTGTGAGTGGAGTGGATACAGCTATCCCCTTTTCTCCCCCAATGCAACCTTGCATGAATTTGTCCTAAATTGCTATACTGAATAAACTATTCTCTTATCTGGATGTGTTAATCAACTAAAAGTATATCTAATGACTAATAACAGAGTGCGGTTAAAAACAGAAAAAAGGCAAAGTAGATGTAAACTTCCAAAGAGTGTCTGTGAGGCTGCATTAAAGCCAACAAGCATAATATGTTTACTGATTTTTAGGAGGTGCGGCTTATTGGTAGATGAAACTTATGACGTGATTGTGATGCAGGATGAACAGTCAGAGGATCAAGACTCATCCTGAGGGGATTTTGAAAACCTGTATCGAGCATCATGGCGATTAACCAATAATGCTAAGATATTTTACTAAAACGACAAATGCTCGCCTCCAGCTCATTCAGGAGATGATTCACAAACTAGAATTTGTTCTCTGGAGACCATCAATGTCTTAATAACAACGTCCTTTGTCCCAAATCTGACATAGTTTAATCTGAATCAGAAATGCTGCTGCCATCTCTAAAGTTACATTGTTTATAATAACTTTGCCTTTTTTCTTTAAACATAAGGTTGTATTAATTGCTGCATTTTGTAGTGGGAATCACCCAAATCATCAGCTATTGTCTGCACGCTCTCTTTTGTGATGTCTACACTTTTAGCTGTCTCTGTATGCTCTATATTTCTTTTTCATCTACTTGTGTTCTGTTTGAAGGTATGACTCGTGAATTGTTAGCTCATCCTTTAACAAAAGACAACAGACTTGAGAGTAAATCTAGTCTGGCTTCATTCTGTCAGGTGATGGTGGGTTACTGTTGTAACCACAGTGCTAAGAATGAAACTGTAGCGCTAAAGCAAACATATTTTCCTGGCTGAACTGCTGCCTGACAAAAAGATGCAGATGGCATGATCAAATGCATATCCTGGAACAATGTTATGTCACCAGCATGATGCAGGTCCATAATGTGCATGCTGATGTTGCCCAGCCCAGCATGCCAGAGACTGACTATATATGGAAGCATGCTCCGAGTATGAGGGCGGCGTAGAGAAATACAGGGAATGGATAATATCTGACAGTGCTGGGCAGATGTGTGGACTGTTTTAACCTTCTAACTGCTGGACTGTGTTGAGAAAAATGACTTGCACCTTGGCGAGCAGTTCTTTAGCTTGTGCTCCTTACCTTGACGGCTGTATCTATCTTCACAGGGGGACGGAATACATCAGATCAGAGAGGCGCTGAAGATCTTAGCCGAGAGGGTTTTAATCCTCGAGACTATGATCGGTATTCATGGTGAGTAGGAGGCCTGCGGCAGGGTCAGCTTTAGGCAGGGGTCAAAGGTGGGCGACTCAAACCCCCACTCTACCTACTGAGGGGTGGGAACAGTCACGAGCAGCCCCAGGACTCGGGCTCGTGTTTCCACACCCTCACACAGTCCCCCCCCTGTCACTGCTCTCTGATAGGACATTAGCTTGCAGATGTTCCACAACTTGCAGGCAGACCTTGAGCTTCTGACTCGCAGGGTGACACTGCTGGAGGCTATCATCTGGCCAGGTAACGCTGAGACATCCTCACCCGCAGAACTGCTGGCCCCCACTTACCTTCTTGACAAGATCTAAAGTGTTAGAAGCTAAAACCAAATTCTGATAATCAGTAACTGAACTACGAAATGTTGTTGTAGATGTGTTTTAAGAAATGCAATCCTTTAAATAAGCTGTTTTGGTACTATGACACATGTGAGCCTACAATCTTCTGCCAAGGTTTTACTTATAGATGTTTGTGGATTTTTCTCTTCTCACAACTTTAAGTTTGTCTCACTTGGTACACTTCTGAGCACCAATAATAATTAAAAAAATATAAATATTTACCTAATATTACAGAATTATCAGCTTGTTTCATGGTGAAGTAGAAAGACTCAGAGGTCTACACCCTGACAATAAAATGATTGAAAATAAAAATGTGCCAAACTGTCACTGGTTTTGGCTTTTCCAGTGTGATGAATTGGTGCTCTTCTTTTTTAAATTAGCTCATCTTTTGGACTCATTCTGGACCATTTGAAGGGTGCTGGAAAATTAAGATGGACATTTTTCCAACAACTTTATAAGAAACACACAAAGCATATTAGTCAACAACATATTAGTCAGCTGCAGCTTGCCTAAAACAAGTTAAGAATCCACTTATAGGTTTGGATTAGGACTACAAAGTGCACACATACTGGTGGAGACGGAAGTGCCGTTCCAACTGCTGTCTTTCTTCAACAGAGCCTGATCTAGGGTCTGGGGATGGACCGTTTGGCACATCCTCCCCTAGTTTCTACAGAGATAAGCGATCAGGTTCAATTCCACATCGACTTGCTTCTCCTCTGTCCTCCGACACCAAGGTTCGAGGAAAGTAGCCACCCCCTGGCTCACCCTGAGGATCACAGGCGGGGGGAGAGGCTTGACTTCCCCTCCTATAAGTCTCATCAACACTCAACAGAGTTAGACGTTAACTGACACCCTCTCTGGGCTGTATCATCTAATATAGGATGGGGGACACCTCAGGGAAACTCCACTGGTACTCGACAATGCCCTGCTCCATCGGGAACCTGAGAACTAATTCGAACCCCATCCATCGCCATAACCAAACAATTTACCTTTACACAATACTTCCAGCTGCTCTTTCTGTTTTTCATTTGTTTGGCTACAGAACTCCAAGCCTCACAATTAGGATGATGAAAAAATCTGAATCTTCTGTGGTGCTCCTCGAGCTACAAACGGTCCTGGAGAATAAAGGTCATTTAGAGTAATCATGTGAAAGAGAAGTCAGATGTGAGAAAAGTGACTGGATTTGAGTTTTTGTTGCTTTCACAATATAACTGCAACCTAAACAGAATTCATTATTTAAGCACATGGAGTCTGTACAGTTTGCGGGACACGACTACACAAACAAAACTCCTCCTATAGTATGTAATTTGTTATGCTTCTATCATATTGTTTAACTCAATGTTATGTAGTGCACTAAAAACATTAAGTGATCCGTTCACTAACTGAGATAAGTGCTGATAACGGTGATTTGTACTGTTCTGGTCCCTCCCCTCCTCCTCTAAAGTATGTACTGATAAAGCGTTTCGACATTTAAACTTGGTAAACGTGCACAAACATTTGCATCTTGTTTAAGCCTCCACATATTTAGAAACAGCCATAAATGATGTTGCAATCTGGAAACATGTTGAAAGGAAAACAGACCTCACAGGATATTTCATGATCTTTAGCACACACACACACACACACACACGCACGCACACACACACACACATATGGAGAAAATGGCAAAACTGTTACGTTAACTTGAATATACTTTTACCACTGTTGTGCTGGTAAACTGCTTATACTGTTATGATGAAAAGACTTTTTTTTCTGCATTTATTGTGAAACTATTTAAAATGAACTGTAGTTTATTTTGTATGCTGTTGTGTAACCATTTCATACTTTTAACTTTTTTCTTGCAAAATGTTTTACAGTGTTAATATAATCCTGTCTAGATGATCGGTGTAATAAAATAATGTCCACTGTTTTTTATTTTTATTTTTTATTTTTTTCTCTTTTTTACATGACACCAGTATTCATTAAACACTTTGATAAATAAAATGACATCCACTCTTTCCACCATACATTTATCTTTGCATATACAGAAAATCTAAACTCTGCATCTACACTCACGGCTGTAATTGTTATCAATAAAATAGTTTTTCAATTAACCCATGGGGAACATACTGAAGCTCAGCAAAACCCAAGCATAACTTCGGTCCAGACTTGTGAGGCGAGTTAGGTGTTTGGTGGCAGTGGGCTCTTCCCCTTAGATACCACCACAGCTTGTTCTCCGATGCTGTCTTCTATAAGCAAGGAGATGGCGCCATCTAGCTGTTTTGATGCTGCTAGAGCCACAACAGCTTTTTCTGTGGGGAAGCCCATCTTCTCCAGCTGCTGAAGACTAGGAGGAAACTTTGTGTAAGTATATATAAAGTACTGTGCAAAAGTCTTGAGCCACCACTCGCGACGCTGCGCACCGTGCTAAGTTTTCAGCTAATAGCTTTTGGGAATCACCTCATTGGTGCAAAACTATTTTATATTTGTCAAACTGTGTTTTCTTAGGGAGTTTTCAAAGATTCAAGCAAAAAAATTTGAGCAAATGACAAATAATGTATTTTTGAGACAGGCTGCTAGTAACAAAGTGTCTAAGCACAACCTTTTATATGCTCGAATGATTGATAGGTCGGTGTTAAATGGTTTAAAAAAAAAAACAAGAAAAAAGAAAAGGCATTCCTGGATTAAATAGAAAATACAGGGAAAAGCAGCCAATGTCAGAAGACCTTTAAACATTGCTCAAGACAACTTAAAAGAAAGTCTGGAAGCACACTGTAAAAACAAAGAGGGATGTCTCAAGACTTTTCCACAGTATTCTATGAGAAAATCAAGTAGTACTAGGTTTAAAAAAAAAAAAAATACATACACACACATCTGCATACTGACATAAAATTCAAGATATTAAGTTATTACTAACCGCAAAGAGGAAACCGATGATTTAGGAACCTCCACTTTTGCACCAGGATCATCGGGAGCATCCTGTAATGAGGCCAGTATCCCCGCTCTAAGCATCTGCTCCTCCAGCACCTCTTCCTCAGCAGTCACAGTAGACTCCTCCATTATCCAGGCAGGCAAAGGTTCAATCCATGAGCGGTGGTTTGAAGCAGAAGGTTGGTTCATTGGGACAGCAGCTGACTGATCTACGGGTATCGTCTGAGAAACTGGTTGAGATCTGTGACAACACACGAGGTTAAAATGTTCAGAATAAACACAGGTTAAGACCAATGAATGTTCATTGAGACTTGTGATGTGAACGAAATGAGTCACACCTGTGTGAGGTAGCGTAGCTAGGCAACCTTAACCTGGCTGTGGTGGAAACATACATCCAGTCAGGGATGAAATCCAAGACCCTGGACTCCTCCAGCTCCTGTAACATCCCGATAAAGGGCTGACGATCTGAGCGATACATTAAGTATTATATAGAAAGACTTGTGAATATGGAAATGAACATCATCAAATATTTGATCGCTTTAAACCTGGAGAAACAAATTGAGAGTTCAAGAAAAATAAGAGAAAAGTGAGCTAATAGTAAAAGTCCTAATAAGTCAAAAAACAAGTAAAATTGTTCCTCTGTAAATCACAATTTAATGCTTTTAGTTTCAAACAATTGCAAAATCGGGGTAGGATACAGTTGTGCCCAATGCATATTGCACAGAAGTGAAGCAGAGCTGGTGTCCCGGGCAGCAGCAGCAGACCAATCAGCAGAAAAAACCATGGGAGAAACCAGACAGGCAGACATCTCAGCACCCTCCTCTGTGTCACCTGTCGACACTGTGCTGTAAATAAAGCAAGCTGGACGGCAGAGAAGCCAAAGATCCGGCTCGCCTCACCCCCACCAATAAAGAGGAGCAGGGTGTAAAGAAAAGGTAGTGCGATGATTGTCAGGGTGGAGAGGACGAGTAAGGCGAGTGTCCCCCAGCGGCGCTCCTGACAAGATCCAAGCAGCAGCACCAGAGCTACACTGACCAGCAGAGAGGGCAGCTCATCATGGCTGAGAGCATACAGGAACACATCTGAGGAGGGGAAGAGGTCATGCATATGTTTTGATTTTTACCAATTCTTGTCTGTGAGATCTGAACTCAAAAAAAGGGTTACCTGTGAACCTCGGGAAGTCTCCTCCTGGACCAACACTGAGACTTGCCTGGATGCCCCCAGCATACATCAGTAGCATGAGTGTTACCAATAAAGAGGTCCCCAGGCAGAAGCCAGGACGACCTGATCCAAACCAGAACCGCACTGACGACATACAGTCCAGCATTATTCACGATTATTCACGATCAGCTGTAGTTTCTCTACTCACTTTTTGGAGGGTTTGTTTTTTTTTTGCTATAGTGGCATAATATTGGTAAACAAACATATGCTGGTTTGCATAACACGAAAAATAGTTTGTGGCATTAAACTGAACCCATTATTGTCCTCACAGCATTAAGACAGCCCGTCAAAGATCCTTCAAACTGAGGTTAGTGCCTGCAGAAATTCCACCAAAAGACATGAAATATCTAACTAGTACGACAACCTCTAATTTCTTCTGATCGTATATAAAATAGCCATATCCTCAAAGCGTATGTGATGAAATATTTTAAGGAAAAAAAGAATAATCAAAGCATAACTAATAAAGTCCTACAATTATAAACAAATCTCCAGTGTGAAAATATTCAGAAAATGAAAGCAAACTTCCGCGTTACGTCTTTTTCTTCGCAGTAAAACAATAGCATAAAGATGCACTACCCCCACCTGCTGGACATACTGCTAGCAAGCCGTCAACCACCAGCAGGTTTTAGATTATTATTTGAATGAACTGTTTTCAAAGACATTTTTTAAGATCTGGCCAAGAGGGCAGAAGAGATGGAAACAAATATATGAAAATTGTTCTATAAAGATTTTTTTTAAGTGGCCCACGAGAACTGGTCTAGTTACGATCTATTACCCAGAGTGGGTATAATCACGCTAAGTCATAAGGATACTTGAAAAACAGGTATTTATTTTACTTCTTGTATAACCCCTCCCTAAATCACGTTGACTTCCGAATATTTACAAATCAGCGTTTTTTTATGTTGTTTAAAATTTAAAAGCACAGACTATGCGGATATTATTGTAAACGTACGTGTCGATTTGTGTATCTAATCTGTAATGCTTTCGCTACAGCAGCCCCCAAACAGTATCGCGTTATGTCGCGAGATTTCGCGGTTGCCGCGAAGAGAAGTGCGTTTCTGCGGCAGCATTCTTCGTCCATTCGTCTCTTGTAGGCACACTAAAATGGCGTCTGCTTCGGGTGAGTAAAAAAATTGCGACAATTGCTGACTTTTAAAGTAAATGTTGGTTTTCATTGAAACATTAATTTACATGAATGTATCCTAATTGTGAGTATGTTTGCATAGTTTGTCTTTTTAGCCATTTTTCTTCATTGAATAACATGAACTTAGTCGGCTCCGCGTCCGAGGCCTAGACAAGTTAGCTCGTCGAGTCTTTGCGGTATTTACTCCGGATATGTTTTTTCATTTGTGCACACTGCGTTTTCCCGCATTTTACCAATTTAAAACGAATCCTGTTTAACGGGTGCGTCGATCTCTGAGTGGTTTCGTTGGCTGTGAAGTAGTGTATAGGTTTAGTGAATGGTCTAGTTGTCTCCGTTTTGAATGGCAACCTAAGAACGGGCCTGTAACGTGCGGCTCGCGCGCTAAGATCTGAAACTATTGTTTCTTGTTTTATTTTTTTAAATTAACCCTTTTTCCCCATTTACAGATTACAGCTCCTACAACCAGACCGGGGCTCAACAGGGGTAAGGTTTTTCAGTTACCTTTATTAAAATGGCTTTGAGATTTTTAACCATCCAATATGACCTAATTCTTTCGAAGAAAGGAAACAAAGCGGAGATTAGGGTGGATGCAAATGTAAACCTGTATATATTTTTAAAACCAATATGCAAACATGGATTACTTTTGGTCGTTTTGTAACCTTCTTTAGATCGTAGTAAACATCTTTTGGATAAAGACCATTTTAAACAGCGCACAGCATGATATTTTTTTCAGGCAGTACCCGGATTTCTGATGATCCTAAAATTTTGATGCATATGTTTACAGGTATGCTTCCTATGCTGCCCAGCCCTCACAGAATTATGGACAATCTGCTCAGGTACCATTATTGATTTAATTGTGCAGATTTGATCAAAGCATGCCTTGTGCTTAAAACATTTAATGATTGTGGGGGAAACTTGGGATGGTTATTTGTTTACTGCTGGCAGTCATATAGGTTGTTTGTGCTTTAAGCAAATGGAGCTTTTAAATAATGCTTAGTTGAGGTTTATTGTGCCTAATGGCTACTGTATTTGGTCTTTCAGCAAAGCTATGGCCAGCAGAATTATGGCTCATATACCCAACCTGCTGCAGCAGCTGCTGATAGCAGTTACAGTCAGACAACACCTGCAGCTGCAGGCTACCCCCAGCAGCAGCAACAGTATGGATCTGGATCATATGGCCAACCAGCATCAGGTCAGTTTTTGTTTTGTTTTAATTTATTTATTTTTAATTATTCTGTTGTTAAACAGTCAAATTACAATGTGAACAGGAATGAATATCAAATATCTTTTTTTTCTCTTTGTGATATGTGATGTCTTTTGTATAGCTGGCTACCCTGCTGCCCAGTCTGCTACTCACAGCTATTCACAGTCAACCCAGGGTTACGGAGCCAGTGGTTATGACAGTACTCCTGCTGCTGCTGCCCCAGCTGCCTCCCAGTCTTATGGCTCTCAGCCAGGATACACGGCTCAGTCTGCCTACCCTGGTTATGGCCAACAGGCTGCTCCCACTGCCCCTCAGAGGTATGAACATCTCATCTGACAACAAAATAACACGTGAATTCCAGAAGAACATGCTTATCGGATTACTTACGTTTTGTCTGTGCTTTGTCTCCATCAGTTACAATGCTAACAGCCAGCCGGCTACTTACAACCAGAGTAGCTACTCCCAGCCAGCAGCATATGGTCAGCAACAACCTGGTTACCAAGGCCAGCAGGCAGGCTACAGCCAGCAGCAGGGATACCAACAGCAGACCCAGCCACAGCAACAAGCTCCTCCTGCTTACCCTCCCCAGGCCGGTGGATCATATGGGCAGCCTCCAACCAACCAGTACAACCAGCAAGGTGGACCACCCAGTTACAGTCAGTCCGGCCATTACAGTAAGCTTTGCTTTCCTCCTGCCTAAACAGCTGCTCTCTCAACTAAGCGCATCTGTTCGATTCCACTGTGATCATTCTGTGATGACTGCATGTTTTGATATTGTTGTTCCTCTTGTAGACAGTTACAGGCAGGACGGGCAGGGTGGAGGTTCTGGTTATCCAGGCTCTGAGCCTACGAGGTACCCTGGAGTAGGGGACAGCAGGGGCCCTGGAAGGGACTTTGACCGTGGTGGAATGATGCATCGTGGGCGTGGAGGCATGGGGCGCGGCATGGGGTAAGTGTCTTTCTTAAGCACTTAATCTCACATTTATTCAGTCTTTGCAGGTGCCGTTGCCATTTGAGGCAGAGCTGAGACAAACCCTGCTGTAACGTCAGAATAATACAGGAAAACATAATGGCAGTCTTGTAAGGGGAATTTATTAGCATTTGATACTGATTCATCAGCAATCGGTGCTAATGAATTGCATATATCTAGTATAATACATGCAGTGGCATATGTTGTATATGCCAGCAATAAGAATGAGTTTTGTCTCAACCCTGCCTCTCTCTTGGTCAAAGGTAAGAAGAAGAAAAAAGTGCCGATTTTGATCAGAGACCTGTGCATAAAATTTAGGTTGGACAGCTTATATCCTAGACCACGATTTGATTACTGGGCAGTATCAACAGTATAGCATAGGAAAACGTAGTTTCAGATTTCAACGTTTGTCAGGGAACATGGTACAATCTGTAAGAATATCTACATAAAGACATACAGAATTCTAACCCTACTTTCTTTAGTTTCCCACCAGTTCAGTTTGTCAGCATGCTGAATTATTCTCTGTAGAGTGACTAACTGGAATAATACAGTTAGATGCTGGAGTCTAGTCCTGTAAGGTCATATATTACGACAGGTATTTTAAGAAATGTATAAATGGACGCTGGGCTCATGTAGCACATTAAGTTCCATTTCACATGCACGTTTGTGTTTTACTAGAGAGCAGTATTTGGGTCAGTACATTTTCTTGATAAGTTTTATTTATTATTCATTTTTTGGCAATTCATTGGTGGTTTTTCAGAGTCTCATAGGTTTCTAAAGGGCAACCGGTGACAATATGTATTTGTCCCTATTTCATTGGGTTGAGAAAATGCCAAAAAAGGCGGGAAATGGCACTTTAAATTAATCTAGATGTTTAAATGGTTGTTTAAAGAAACACCTCAAAAGTAAATGACATCAATTACAAGAAGACAGAGTAATTAACCATCTATTTAAAGAATTTTTGTCATTTGCCGCTCTGACATTACTCCCAAAAGTAGTTTCTCATTTGATGTCATCTCTTGGACCAAAGTAAGTTTTTGTTTTTGTTTAAAAAAAAAAAAAAAAAATCTCTTTCAAGGGTTACTTTGATGTTCAGATTTATTTATTTATTTATTTTTTACTAACCATTAAAGCAAAAAAACAAAACAAAGGACAGTAAGAACGGTAAGCCTATATTAATGGCAAAACACTCAGAGGGAAGTTTTAATACATTTCAAAATCCTGGTTAATTTTCTGATACACGTGGTTATTTTCCAGCCATATACTGGCTGTTTTTTGGTGTTTTTGACAGCTTGAGGAAAGAAAAATGTAGGTATAGTGGTTTTTTGACGTTGAAGGCATGGGAAAACAGGGCTTATTGAAGGTATGCACAGACCCATCTGTTCCAAAAAATATATAAAGATTTCTCATGGGGTGGTTAGTGTGGATGCATTCAGTCCAAAGTGGATTTTTGTTTTGTCATTAGTCAAATCTCAAAACAGCTTTTGGGTGCACTATACTTGTTTTAAGGGTCTTGTGAAAATGTATTTCTCATGATAAGGAAATTGGAACACATCCTGGACACTCTCTCTGGTACTTCCATTTAATAGACAAGAAAATTGTCTACAGATTGAGCATCGGAACAGGTTTTCTATTGTGCAGATGTGATTTTTACCAAGTTAAAACGGTTACAGAGACACATTTCAGGTGTTTGAAGTTCATCAGAGGGTTGTACCGTCATGTTGTACTGCACATTTGGTTTGGTTTAGAAGAGCTGTTTAAAGGTTTAAAAATACTATTTAAAATTCATACTTGCGCTATCAAGTTTTACATCAGCAGCCATTAACGTGACTATTGGTAACATGACAGGGGTTTGGGTTTTTTTTTGGTTTTTTTCCCCTTCTTTTGGGAAAGAATCCTGCCCAAAGCTTGAATGAGCAGTTTTGTGGCAGAAATGCACGGGCATCATCGGGTGTTCATTTCAGGTGTCCATTTTAAGGTGTGTTTAGAATTTTTCATGGTTATTTTTCAGTGGCAAAAGTTGTTTTTTTTGGGGGGGGGGGGGTTGTTTTTTTTTTCTCCTTCCTTTCCTTTTTAAGAAAGAGGGTTCTGCATGACATCTCTGGTTTTTGGTGGCGCAAATGCACACACACAGACACTGAAGTATTTCAGCAAATCTCATACAAGGCCACACTTTAAAAGTATAATATAAACAAAATAGTTCTCAGTTAGAAAGCAGAAATAAAATTACATCATTGTATTTCAGATGCAGTGTAGCAGGTTTCTATCATTAAATTTGAAGATTAGCTTAGGTTT